ATAATCCCATTTCGAATATTGTCACTTAAATTGGAAAAACTCCCTCGCGCATTTAACCCTTCGTGGCCGGGCGCACAAAAAGGAGGTGTGACACTAGATAGAAGAGCCATATCAACAATATCTGTATACATATGGTCTTTATTTATATTTTTTATTTTTTTGTGAGGTCGAAAGAAATTGATCTTTGTGTAGTGAGATATAGATAGCTATAATTTAAAAGAATTTCTAGTGGTAGGGGTACAACTTCCTTCCTATAGCAATGTAAGGAATAGAATAGGTTTTTTTTCCTGTTGTTCTTTCTATTCGTGCAGTTCATATGTTACTTTATCTTATAATTATGTTAACTTTTATTCATGATTGATTTAACTTTCATTTATCATTAAGACTACAAAGATCTAAAAAGTAGCCTAAAATTGGAATAAGAAAAATAGAAATGGAAGTAAACATTATAAAATGTCTAGAAGAGCTTTTCAAAAACTCTTCACGAAATCCATAAGCAGGTCATTTAGATCTAAAGGAAGAGGTGAAAGACGAATGCTAGAGTATTCACAATTGATGTTATATTTATTCTCAAATACAGAGCTTCCTTCTTACACTTGGATAACTCATGAACCATCAATTTGCTTTACAGCTCATTTCTGCACACCATCTGCAGGAGGTTGTCTTTTTATAGCTTTCGACCATTGTGGATTGTGTCGTAAGCAATAGCAAAATACAAGCTTAATAATCAGGAGATTCCTCCAAAGATATCAAAATCTAGCCTAAATCAACTATAAAAGAATTATACTTAAGTAGTCAACCAGATAATGNTTTAAGTAGTCAACCAGATAATGTAAATATAGTGAAGTTAGAATGAACTCTCTGACTAAATCAAAAGAGCAGAATGAGCACAGATGATGCACACAATCCACCCAATAGCGATCAGTGGTGGAGTCCGAATTTTGAATAAGGGGATTCAAAAAAATGTAAGAACGTCATAAATAAGATATGAACTTATATCAAGGAGGCTCAATGATTGGTATATACAAAGAAATTTGTTTTTATCCTTTTTTCAAATTGTAACTTTCTACCTGAGGGGATTAAATTGAACCCCTTCACCAAAGGTAGCTACACCCCAGAGTGAGATTAACCATTGCGCAAGACCAGGGTAAGCGCATGAAATGTCAACAAGGTCAAACTCAAATCCAATTCTCTCTTGGACGGAAACTACTCTGAAGGTTTCAGCAAAATAGGTATCTATATCCAAAATCAACTATAAGAAATTTCTAATCAGTCAAATAATTAAATTACAATGCATCATGTGAGGCTCTGACTAAATCAGCGGAACAAAGTAGATGCAGATGATTCATAGAACAATAAATTAGTTCACATATAAACCATTAGGTAGTAGTTAAAAGTTGCGAGCCCGCTGCGGTCCATTAATGCAGCCACACAAATCTAAAGAAGGAGAAGAAATACTAAGAGTACTCACCTTTCAGCCACCAGATAGAAAGATAGCAGAAAAGTGAAGCTGCAAAAACAAGGAGGAAACCCAAGCAAAACAGAGGTTGTTTCACAATTTATTGGGCGATATCAGCTAACCAGTGCGATAAATTGTCCGATAAAACGTTGAGGTTAAAGAGCAAATATGCAGAAGCAACGAGTACTAAAGTAAATAGACTTCAAGGGATAATGTTAATTGCAGATACCCACCAAAAACGTAGGTGGTGCAGAGCGAGGAGAACAGGTCACAGCGCCAAAAGCAAGAACCAGTTTATCTTCCATGTCGGAAACGGAGGAGACGACGAAAAGGCGCGCGTACCCAAGAGAGAGAAACAGAGCACGGAGGGAAAGGAAAATAATTCAGCGATTTCGCGTCCACAAAATTGGTCGTGTAAGACATGACAGAAAGACCAAAATAACCCCGGATTTTGATAAAAAAAAAGGGAGTTTGTTGCATTGCAGAAGCGGGACTACGAAAAGCACTTTAACTATATGCATTATTATATAAAGGAGTAAAGAACCTTCCACCTTGCACGGATTTTCCAAATTGTTGAACCCGTATTGGATTCTCCTAAAATATACTATTTTTGCAAAATTCGATATGCACCCGACGATTATTTTAGGGAGTCCGAGCAACGTAGACCTACATTATGATTAATTTGTGGATTTGTGATACATCTGATGATTTGTTATTTGAAATATACGTGCGCAAGTCCACAATTATATATATATATAGACACATACACACATCATATATTCTAAGAACCTTAATAGAATAGTAGACGATAATCTATAGCAATCTATGAATACTCTATATACACAAGATAGTTGGTTTGTCTTCGTTCTTTGCTTGGCTTAAGAGGGAAAGCAGGGGAGGAGAAACCCTTGTGCTTCTTTTCCGTTCTGTGAACTAAAATGATAGGTTTGAGGAATCTGGTTGAGCATAAGTTTGATTGGCTTCATCTCTTTTTCGTTACCATACATTTTTAAAGGGAAAAAAAAACATGTTTCCAGACAAGAGTCCGAGACCACCTTGAATCCGCATCCAAGCATGCGTCATTTTTTGAGCCAACATAGATAACCAGGCCACTTATAAAGATAATTGATACACATCAGAAATTGAAGTAGGGAACTCATTATACATCCTTCTGAAAGTGGAATGAGATCATTTTGAAAAGAAAGAGAAGAGAATATATGGCAAGTAAGTAAATTTATGAAATTATTTAAGCTTCTTAACGTCATAGGACTGGCTGTGCAGTGAAAGAATATACAAAACTCTAGGAAATCTGCAGTTTTGTAGAATGTGAAGGAATCCACATGTCTGCTGCAAAAGCAATTATCCCGTTTGGTTACCAACAAGAAGAGTTAAAAGCATAAATAGCCAAGTAAAGTCCATTATCTATCTGGGGCCGGCCGGGGAGCTTGGAAGAAAGTCTAGGAAGTAGCAAAAGTTGGCAGCAGTTACCAATTAGTCAAAATAAGGGGTATGTTGTCACACCTCCTTTTTACGCACCCGATGGGGTGCAGGGAGTTTTTTTCCAATTAAAGGACAATCGAAACGGGATTGGTTTATTTATTTCAGAGTCGC